GTTACGAAAATATGATTTCCATCAGTAGTTGAATCAAATCCAAGTGGTCGAGTTTTCATTGAATCATTCCCTATGATGGTTTTTCCTACCAAAACTCTTGCTATAAACATGCATCGTTCTCCATTTGCATTTGTTTTAGTATATTTATGACTATAATTTGCTTTAGATGAAAAATAAACACCAACACCATAGAGAGTTCCTACAGGTAATAAAAATACAAACGATCTAACAATGTACAAAAGAATAAAGTTACCATGGGTTCCAGCAAAACTTCTATTAAAACAATCTTCAATAATTGAACTAGCAGCTTGTTCAGGACAACCATGATATAAAATTCTTTCGGTATCTCTGTGAAGACGTCTTTCAAAATCTTCTTTATGTGCTAAATATTGCATATACCAACGTTTATTTTGAATTCGTTCGATTTTAATTATTTGCGTATATTTTCCTTTCATTGCTTGACGAAAATCGGAAGCAATGGATGTGTATTCATTTGTGGTGGTGGCCAATGTAAAGCGAGCTTTATGTTCGGTTGATTTCTCCCACGTTGGTGGCAGATGATAAAACTTTTCTTCATGGAGGCCTATGCAAATTAATTTAGAATGAGACTTTTGTATGTTACATATTTATCTAGAAATGTTATGTTTTCACTTTGATTCACATATAAATATAACTAACTGTTTCGTTAATTTTCTGTTGGTTTTTCCATGTAAAATCGGAAATCAAATAACAGCTTTATTTTAGAGTAAAGGAATCTGTTAGTGCAACTGTTTATTTAATCCTCTAGAACTGTAATAATGAAGTAGTTCATATATTCTAATGATATGTTAGTGATATTAGATCTGTCTTGGTCTCTGAAGGCCGTCTGTCATGAAGACCGAATCGAATCGGATTTTAGTGGTTCGAGTTCGGTTTGGTTCATCCTATATATCTATATCTAAACCAGTGTAGCGCTTTACCTAAGATTGGTGATCAACGCTACCGTTGCATGGATCCCTAGGTGAAATTAGGAATTTGAGAGGATTGAATACTAACATCCATACCAATGTATAGACGACAATATGATCTAATGTTATCGTCACATATCGTAACAAGCATTTCTTATCGAAATTTTATTATTATATTCATTGAAGAATGATCAAATATGACAGAAGAAAATAGATCATTTTTTTTTACTATCACTAAATATAAAGAGAAAATTTTCTCAAGTTTTTTATATGGAAATAAACTACTACCGTCATCTACATAGTCTACCTATAGATTATGCCTATCTCTTTTAAATCCACAGATCCAGTAGAACTGAATAAACTTACTAACCATGCACCGATTAGGTTTAATCAATATCCTGAAATGGTTCGCTTAACCGATGTTTTGATACATGAACGGCTTAGAATACTCAGTGATTCTAAGTTCAGTAGAACTTTTGTTTCACTTAAATAATTTTTCCTATGAATAAGAACTATAAATATGAAATGAACATTCAATTTGTTTTTTTAGTGGCACAGAATCTTCTAATCTACTCTACGTATCGCACAATAGAATTTAATTAATCGAAAGAAAATTTTTGGTTTACCATCTTCTCTTGTAAATAATTGTTTACAAAATTCATCATAAATATTTTCTTGATCAGCTTCTACTACAAATTTTACTGTCCAAGATAAATCTCTCTTCATAAGATGTTTTTTCATTTCTAAAACCATTGTTTTAACTACAATATCTATTGAACACTGATATTTTCCACATCCAATAGCTGGAAGTGCAAACGATGTAAAATTATGTGATTTAACATTTTGTACAACAGTAGATATGAGATCAACAAGAGATTGTTCAAGTACTTTTTCATCATTATCAGGTTTCCATTTGACAAAAAATATTTGTTTGCAAGGTAGAGCTCCTGATGCTGTTTCAATTAAAATAGAATTTGGATGATTTTTTAATTCAAGATCGTACGCTGTTTGAATTTGATTGCCGGCTGCTTTTAGTATTGCTTTTCTTAAGAGTCGTGATGATGAACTACCAATAATAACATCTACCTATCAAAGATAAATATCAAAGGACTAAAGTCTTACAAAAATATTCATGGTTTTTTTTTTAAGATACCTTTTGCATTGTTATATCACCCATTTCAATTTCGATTTTTCCTCTTTTAAATGTTGCACATACTCTTTCGAATTTATAAGATGGTAGTGGTGATCCTAATAAATAAAGAGAATCATAAAATATGTGTCAGTTAAGAGTATCAAATAATGAACGTGTTGATATCATAAGAAAGTCAGAGTTTGAAATTTTTATTTTAAGAATAATCTCATCGAGTTTAGTTCGAAGAACCTGTTTTCGCTAATCAAAAACAAAATGGTTCCTAAGTACTGTTTTAGAAGATATGATATAAATAAATATTTCTGTAGATTTTTGTGGAACTATGATTCATCAAAGTGATCTATCTATATACACAACCAGTAAATAATATTAAAAAATAAACTGATCGAAAATTGAACACATCATGGAAGTCAATGTATTACACTCTATATAATCTTGAAACAATTGACACATATTACTGCCTACTCATTTTACCGATCCTAATAACATTATAGAAATCTAATTGATTTTTAAAAATCACAAGTTTGAAAAACGAATTGTATTTTAATCCTCTAGATAGAAATTGGTAGTAAATATTTTATTACTCAATAAGAAAATCTATATTCTTTCAGATAGATATCTCAGGTCTTATGTATATTACAATAATCGATATCGCACTTATTTGTGAGTTCAATATAATCTGAATTGATCACCAGTCATTTTTGTGAGAATATTTCATTTTTCAATTAATGACTTGTCAGCTTAAAAGCAACCCGATGCAATAGTGTAAATGCATAACTAAATCTTACTTCAAAATCTTTAGGCACTGTCTTTTATATTAATATTCATGCGCGCGCATCTTGTTTTCGATTCACAAGACGAACTCCTCTATCATTCAATATTTCACATTGCTTATTTTGTGCTCATTTAGACAGAGTAAGATTATATCAAACTCTAAAAGTTATAATCTTGGAACTGACATTCCATTATAGAATGAACGTATATTCTATAGATGTAGTTGAAATGAAAATCCTTATGCTACATCCTACCCAATCCACTCTAAATAGAAAAGCTCCCAGCGCAATACTAGTTCATATCTTATAACAATACGTTATTGACATAGAGTCTGTGATGAATCGTCTCTTTTGGATCGTATTTCATAAAATTTCTAAATATATTGTTGCTACTATAATTCGATACTTCAATTAAACAAAAATTGTTTTTTGCTTTGCTCATCTATATTTTAGAATAGTAATACTTACTCTCATCTTCATTATTATACGACTTTGTTGAAGATTTCCTTGCACGTGTACTTTGTTGATATTCTTTTGATGATAATGGTATTTTATTTGATTGAAAAAATTCATAAGTCTCTGTATCAACAACATATAATTTTACATGCCTTTTTACTTTTGCTGTATGAAATTTTTCTAAGATAGTTGTACTTGACATATTATCAACAAATTCATCATCAATTTCAATAATTCGATCACTTTTACGTAATGATGTCTTAGCGGCAGGTGAATTCGGATATACATCTTGAATAAACATGCCGATATCAGTTAAAGGATTAACAGTTTGAAAACCAAATGATGTATCATTTGTATTTAAATATATTTCACATGTGCGTGG